TTATATAGGACACCAATCAGTGATATCAAACATGATCTTTTTCTTGGTTTAATGGTGGATGGCATGTGACCTTTGAAGTCTAGAGGGATTTTTTGATCTTGCGAGTCCAGCGAAGAAATTGATGGAAAAACCACTCCACAAGGCTCTCCCAGTGTGAACCGACATGCCGCGAAGCACACCAGTAAACTGTCCCACTGCCATTCTGAGTTGCTGATGCCTCCATTGTGGATTCGGAGTTGCACTTCAACTTCTACTTGACCAAGTAAGTCACAAGAAATAATAATTGATGAACAGCAAAGAAAAGCTGCTAGGAGCCTGGAAGTGAGTTTATATAAAAATGTGTTTTATAAGGAATGTTGATGCTTAGAAACAGAAACGGTTTGCTAATCACCTCACCACTGAGTATGTGGGGGTCATAACTGAACTTAATGAAGCTAGTGTCGCTTGCATTCATTCATCCATCTTTTAACTTTTCTAAACACCACTACGAGGAATGTGAGAGTTTGATCTCTGGTAGAAAGTTTAAGTTCAAGTAAACTAAAAATAAAATGCGACTTCGTCTGATCGTATAGTCTTGGTATCAATCTGAAGCTGTTGGAATATCTCCTAATAATGACTTAGTGATGATTGGAAGTACATATGAAAAATTACAAACATAAGTGCACAGGAGTGTCAGAGTAAAATGAAGTTAGAACCTAATAAAGTAATAGCAGCAAGATGCCAAAAGACACACAGACACATAAGCCAGAGAAGAAACAGAATCATAAAATCAGGACATCCACATCCTAACAGAAACTCAGCTTACTTCAGCTTAAACAAGAAGGAAAAGTAAAACCTCAGCCAGACATAAGACACAAAATATAGCATTGATGATTTGCTTTGGAGCAAACTCCCCCCAACAAACTTCCTCACAGCTCTTGGGAAACTGACAGCAGAAATCACAACTATGACAGGGCTGGAGATTAACAGTTGCCTGCTTGCATTTCTCCAGTGACTCACAGGCAATAAAATCCCAAATTCCTGCAGAACTGAAGCCTCTGTACAATCACCTGGCCATGAAACTATCTCCTAGTGCCAAACTTACACTCAATCTGTCAAAGCCTCTGAATCTGGATAGAATGAAGAGCCACGTCAGACAAGTTGGCAAGACTTTTTTTTTCTTTGGCGGCGGGTTATGGACACTTGCCGTGATGAACACATGCTCAGCCGAAAACAGCATGTCACAGCCTGACACACGCTGGTCAGTTCCACTAACACAGAGAGCTATTAGTCCACCACCAGCACCAGCCTGGAACAATGCATATTTGCATTATTTTCATTACTTACAGGATTTGTGCAAATAACAGAAAAAAGTTGGAATTCTGTGTTTTTACTCAAGGATGTTTTAATAATTGTCATAATGTCTGACTTCAAAAAACAATAGATCTATTAGTGGTCTGCCATATTTAGACAGAATATAAACACAGAAAAGCTTTAGAATGTTGGCTCCTTGTTGCAGGTTTTTCAGTATACCAGTGCACCATTTCTCAGACCTAAAAGCTGCCCACATTATGGTTGTCACGGTAACCGGTGTAGCGTAAACCCCGGTAAGAAAGTTGACAATAATAATAACCGTCTTGTTTTTAAAAAACTATATTATCTTGGTGGGTTACCGTGGCTGCGGTATACGTGCGGTGACCCTTACCAGCCACCGTATCATCTGCTGAAGTTGCCGGCGGCACATGCGCACTTTGTTGTTTACAACCAAAACTTTCTTGAAGCTAAAGCTGAAATAATGGCCAAAGGAGGAGAATGCAGCGCTCAGGACATTTATTATCCCTCAAAGAAGACAAAGTGGGAAGTACGGGCATTTCTTGGATATTTGAAGAATGCCGAGGGGCAGCTGATAGAAGACGGCTATCCTGTTTGCAGCACGTGCAGAAAAAGTGTCTGTGAAAGGCAGCAACGCTTCAAATCTCATGACACATCTGCGTGACCATCACCCACAACTCTACAGTCAACGCAAGGCAAGCTAACGTTAGCGTTTTAGCTAAATTGCATGATCCGAGGATTTGGGTTGAGGGAGAATGCAACGAGTCGCTATATAAAGCAGCCACAGCCCCGCTACCTGCATATAAACCGTGTCGCGGACACCCCCATATTGAAATGACGCTATGCATTACGGGGCTCCCAGGGGCAGATAAGAGTTGGTCTCCATCCGAGAATAATTATGAATTTAACAATGATTACTGCCTGATGACATTTTCCCAAATCTGCAAAGCTCACTGGAAGGACACAAACCAAGGACAATATTTTCCTGACATAGGGGTTATTACTCAAGCAAGGGTAAAAAAGTATCTGATTAGAAGGCTACTTGAGTACTGAGTATTATCTGATCTAATATTTTTAAAATGATGACATCAAACAGACAAAATGTAAGAAGTTATGGGCAGATATTGGTATTTTAAGGACTAAAGGGGAAAAATGTAAACAAATAAACATAATTACAAAATAACACATTTTAGGCTAAATTTAGACACAAACTGAGGACAATATTTTCCTAATATACAGGGTTTATTTAGTTGTCTGAAAATGTAACACGCTTAAAAAAATACTGCGATAATACCGAAAACCGTGAGGTTAAATTTTCACACCGTGACAACCCTATAGCCCACATCCCAGCTGAGCTTCAGACAGCAGGTTTTGGAGTTTTATTTCCTGATGTTTGGACATCTCGCCTCAGACTGCATAACAGCCACATGACTCTACCACTGACTTGCAACGTGGATGTTTTATATCCACAAATAATAGTAGTGCAACGGATTAGAAAACTCTCGGTTCAGATCGGATCACGGTTTTCAGTCACAAATTGGATCAGAAAGAAAAAAATAGACAAATAGCTTTGTTATTTGATACATCCCTCTGTAATTTATAGAACACTTAGTGCAACCTTTTTCTGCTCAATTTGCATCTTGCTTTAAAAATAGTGGGGATGTACCAACCAATTTTTCTTTACATAGTTAACTGGTCAATTGCTGTTAACGTAACCAAGTAAAATTGTTTTGCCCAGTTAACTGCCAGTGATCTGGCTCTGGTTGTAATTTAACAGTCTCAGTCCATACTAGATCTCCACAGGCAACCAGAATGACTACAACCTTGCATGGAAGCCACTCGGTCATGCGAGCGGGCAACCCCGCTACCCAGAGCCTTTCTTAGTTTCTTGGGTTAGCTAAGTTAGCTAGTAGCTACCTTGGTTACATTTGTTCCAACCCTGCTCTAAATGTAACAGCCCCACCCTCAGCTCCACCTCTTTTCAAATTTTGGATTGCCTGGGTGTGACTTGCCCAAAAACATCAGTGGTGGGAACCTTCCATTTTTGGCTTCAACTTGCCCCCCTGCAGAGGAATGGGCAGGCTATGTCCATATTTTTATGTCGATGGTGTGCGCGCTGGGGGGATGGGGGATCGTAAACAGAGTATTAACCATTTAATGGCTTCAATAATGAGTCGAACAAATTTTGTGAAGTGTGCTTCCCTAACAAATAGGAAAGAGAGGTCCAATTGCTGATTAAATGTTTACAGTATGTGAGGTTTTAACATTCACTTGAGGATCCGAGACCTTTTTGAGCTCTAGGGACTGCTTCCCGCCTCAGCAGATGGAAAGTCTTTACTGCTATAAGTTAAAGGCCCAAACCCGGCACCTCCAACAGTTTCTAAATCACTTCTCCTCAAATATGCTGTAAATCAAAACATTAAGGCATTTTGGTTAAAGTTGTAACAATAAACACCAACTTAGATGAAAAAAATCTGATTTTGCCTCAACACAACCAAACTTTTAACAAAGTCAGAAGAGAACTCCTGTTGCTGTAAAACATGAATTTTAAGGCAATACAAAAAAAATCTAAATAAGTACATGTAAGCACATGATTGTGCAGAAACATTCCTGATATCTTCTACCATTTCCAAACCCCTCTTCAATGGCAAAACAACATGTAGTACTGATTGGGCACTGAGGCCACCCACCCCTTTGCTCTGGTAAGACATGTACATTTTTCTCATTCCTTCCTCCAACACGTTAACATCTGTCCCAGGTCGAAGCTCTGTGGAGCTGTGTTAGTCACGCCTACAGCACGCCACTTGAGAATCCTTGTCTGCAGGCCACATCTTTCTTTACAAGCCTCAGCTTCTCCCTCACTACAGGACACAAGGCTGCAGGCAGACGTGCAGCACACAGCTTCTACCACCTCATTTCATCTCTACCTTTGATAGCAAAACCAAAAGCTTATCCACCTCTCTGTGCCAAACTCCACACATTAAACTATTAGGCTAAAATATTGTTGGATATTACAGATTGTGTCGATGAAACATGCCTTTTCATATAAATTCAATTATCATACTACGGGAAAAAAAGACTTCATTTAAGTGAACAAAGTTGTTCAAAAATCTAGCTCAAATTAAATCTTATGGGTGAGCCAATGTCAAGTTACAAGTGTGTGCAAATTAAGCACAACTCAAGTCTCAATTTGAGCCCCCATATCTTTCATTCAATCTTCAGAAAGGTTTATGGTCAGCTTATTGCAGTTCAAGACACTACAAGGACAAAATCTCATAAAAATTCTAAAGTGTATGTTGCAATTAACTGAATCGTGTTCTCTACCCTCTTAACATTAATGTTTATAAAATACATGAAGGCTATAAAACTGCAAATTTATAAGGGTGGCAATTGCCCCACCCAAGAACCCCATTGGTGGTGCCACTGGGTGGATCTAGTGGGTTCAACAGAAGCAAATTAAGAATATGAAACCCCCTGAAATCTGTTTAAGGGAAGCCTGACTCACTAAAACCTCATCACTGGTTAAAAAAAAAGAAAAACAAGAACGTAATGCATCTAAGAAATGGTGTGTGTGTGTGTGTGTGAGCTCAGCATTCCAGCACAGAGGCATACAGTTTTCAGTGTTCCAATGACAGCACTGAGGGTGCCATTTATCACCAGTAAACTGCATTTATCACCAGTAAACTCACCATTTCTTTGTGCATTCTACCATTAGCTCCTGATAGGAAGCCACAAACTGAAACTTGGAAGCATGCTTCCCCACACGCTGTAGTCTCTTCCATACAGAGGCCATGGCTCTTCAGGGACTGGCAGTTTCTCTGAGACTATCCCGTCCTGGACTTCCTTACTTGGGCTAATGTTTATATGTATCCGAGTATGTTCAGCCTGCATGGATACATAGTTAATGTTTCATCAGCGGGGAAAAAACAAGATCCAGCACATCCAGTGTTGACCGATTTTATTTACAAAAGGATGACCAAATTCAAACGCAAGAAGATGAAATCTCTGCCGCAGTCCAGCTCCGATTTAAAGGCATGCATGATGCTATGAAGAAAAGCAATCCATGGTTTGTGAAGGGAATGTGAGAAATCCTCTGGGTGTGGGGGTCATAGTTCTTTATGGTGATCTCCCCTGCAAAAGAAAGGGAAAAAAGACAAAGTCAGACAAGTAAACGCCGGTAGAGACCAGCTGAGTGAATTCAACATGAAACTTTAAATTATTCCAGTCTACAAAACAATAACTTCTCGCGATACAAAGATGCAGTTATTTAGCGCAAACAGAGGGTTTGCACATGTTATAACAAACAACTTCATGTGTAAGAATGTGACGAGGGCTCCAGCACCTCTGCTGCCAGCACGGCGTGCCGGAGGGGCTATCGCCTGGCGCGGGGAGCAAACTTGTGTTAAAATATGAATTGCGCCGAAGCAGTAACGGAGAAGCAATGACATCACAAGAAAACGAGTCGAGTTACCCGTCGGGTTAACAAATACCTCACTTAGCGACTCTGTCCGAAAATCCCGTGAACGTTTTTGAAAACATATTTGATGGAATGTTTCTGAATCCAGGCAATAGTCCGAGCCGCTACGTGCGTTCCGCTAACCAGAACGACTGCGCTTCAAAGCTACAGAATTAACACTCACCTTGCTGAAATACTCTACATACTTTCAGTAAGCCAGCCTTAAAAACAGAGGTAGAGAGTTGTCCGTTACAAAACCAGCAGCCGAACAGCCTCCTGATGGCGAGCTAATTACCCTAACAGCAACACAAGCCATGGAGTTAGCAAGGACAGCTAGCCATCACAACACGGCACACCGGAAACCGCCACTTAACGGGAGAGACGTTGGGGCAAACTCCGTTTTCCGGAACTAAGAAATAGACGACCTTTATCCGCTCATTTACCGCAGCTAACCTCTTCAAAAACATTCAGACTTCTTAGAGGGATTCCCGCAGCTAACAGTTACCATAGTTTGACTGACCTGCTTATCTGTCAAGTTGGTAAATTTAGACAAACATTAACAGAAATTTGTTTTCAAAATAAAACTGCCTCCGGTGTTTGCTACTTAAATAAGGCTGGAATGAACCATTGACATATGCATGTGAACAGAACATGACAGAAAATACAATGCTCAGTTAATTTTTTTGTTTGTTTTGTTGTTATTTTCTTAAATTACATAGACTTTGACAACAGAGTTTAAGCAGCGAGCAGTTGGTATGTTGATAAACTGTTTTCAACGGAAGAACACATTTAAACACAATAATTATATTTTTCCCAATGAACACTTTGATTTTATTTTGAAATTAACTCACACATTTCCGGTTTACTTGATGTAACTTTATTATTTTGTCGCAGATTCTTGTTTCTAGCGAGGCGCCTGGGTGAGAAACGCCTGCAAGCAATAGTAATTGTTGATATTCTTATTCCGTACTGATTCAAAAACCATTTCTGGATTATTGTTAATCACACGGGTTAAGTTCAACATTTACCAAACATGTAGAAACTGTGGTTTGTGACGATTTGACTAGGACTATTTTTGATGTTTTGTTTTTGTTTTTCCATTAATGAAACCTTCAAAATAAATTTAAAACGTTCCAAAATAATCACCCACAATACAAACATTCTGGTTACACAACATTACATTTACATCAAATAAGAGGCTATAGCCCTTGATATTATGAGACTTCAATTTCCTGATTCTGATCCATTAATAAACAGGCCATCCTGCATGCTGGGAGGTCTTTTTTTTCTGCACATAGAGAAGAAAGAAAACTGCACCATCCATCAGTAATCAATACCCCATCCTGTCTCTACTCATACACACACAACACACACACACACACACACACACACACACACACACACACACACACACACACACACACACGCAATATATCTCACACTTCCAGGCTTACAAATGCAAAGCAATAGAAGCAGGATGAATGAAGAAGTCCTGCTGAGAGAAGTACAATAACACAGAGATTACTTCCATCTCCAAGAAGACACAGACATAACAGGAAATTGATATCTTATCCTTTGACGTGATAGGGGTTATATCAGCATGTGATACGGTAGATTTGTGTTTCTCGGTCTCTGTTATGTGAACTAGAAATGTCAAAATATTTTAAAACAAATGTATCTCACATATACTTGGTTTATTAGCATTTTATCATAATTTATTTGTCAGGAGTCAAATTCAATTCAATTCAAAAATACTTTATTAATCCCAGAGGGAAATTGATTCAGTTTTATTTTATTTTTTTATTAAATGAATCTATGCTTTGTAAGCTTTGGGATATTGAGAACAATATTGTGAAAAGCTGTTTTGGATTTATCTGGAATTTAGGTCACAGAGGGAAGAAAAAGTGGAAATGCAATAATTTCCTAAATGTGTTCCTGAAAACATGCTAAATAACTAATGTGATCATTGATAAGTCAGCTGTGGTCTTCCTCACACTCTAGGAATAAACGCTGTTCCGGATCCGGATTCAAAAGTGTTGCTGATAAAACTTGTTGCATTTCATAGCAGCTCTTCCTTTAAATATGACTTTGCAAACAATTAAGGGGTTTAGGCTCAGAGCGGATTTGACAGCAGGGAGTCTGCTGGTCCTGCTGCGCCACGTCGCCCCATATGCATCCGAGTCTGACAGATTACAGGGAGACTCCCTCTATGTATCAAGGAATGCTTTGATGTGACAAATGACTCTGTGCTAAATGACTCTTTGTGTGTCTGCCCACATTGCAGCCAAGGCCTGGTTTCATAAATAACACCCACATGAGCAGTCATGTCAGCCTGCTCATGTGGGTCCTCAGTGTGGAAGAATACAGCGATCAAGCAAACAGATGCAAAGCTAATTAATCATTTGATTAAATTGGTTTATTATCGAGAAAACATCTAAAAAGAGTGAAAAAGAAAACATGCTGCTCACTCAACTCAATCTGAAACCTTCCAGGGTTAAAATGCAATCTTGGTGTAAGAGTAAACAAATTATAAACCCAGAATAAAGTGAGGAACAAGCATGGCCTCATACACAGAGGTAAAGTCAGGTCATCCCTGCTGCTCAAGCACTCATCCAGTTGCATTTAAACCCTGGACAGTTTCTTTTTGTGAGACCCTTTTAACTTTCCAAATTAAGTCAAGCTTTGCACTTCCTTTTATTTCACTAACATAATGCATTCTGATATTTAGCCAACTGTGAATGCAAGGAGAATTTTTCCACACCTAACTTCTGTTTCTCGATCACACATCCCCACTCAATGCCTCTGTGGAGTCAACAAAACACGTCCTCTATGATGGACGCCAGCGCTCTGCTGTGCTGTTGCAGACCACTTGAAAAGCCTGTTGACAAAGCAGAGTCCTTTAGATAGAAGCCAAGTGAGTTCGACCCACTTCAGACACGCACAGATAGCCAAGAGTGTTGCTGTGCACAGCGCTGTAGGATTAGTTCACTCACTTTCACTTTCGAGAAGATTCTAACCTTGTGAGCATCAACCTGCAGGAGGAGAAGGTAACATTTCAAATTAGATTTTAAAGTCAAAATGCTTCATCTGTTCTAGAGGCATGCTTTTTGTTCTTTATTTGTAGCTGAGTTTACAACTCCAAGACAAACCTGGGTTGGTTTTGACTTTTTGTGAGATCTGTTGTTATCTGTGTATCCACAGATGTTGCCCCTTTTCATGACATCATGTGGAAGCACATTATCAGCTTTTCTCCTGGAAATGTGAGTGTAGTGATTTCAGGGACCAGATAAGCTTCTTCTGCTTTGATGTGCTCTGTCCTGATTCATGGTAGAGAGTTTTTCTTCATCAGTAACAGGAAACCTTTTACATGTATCTCCAGAGTAAGCACTAGGCTGAGGGCTGTCCCTTCTCAGATCTATGCATTGCTGCAGTGACTGAATCAGATATGGATGTGATTTGGTTACTGATTCATCCGTGCACTAAAGGATCCCACCTCTCTGTCAATTTATTTGTTTATTTTTAATGTTCTGTAGATGATTTTAGAAATATCTTTTGTAAAGCTACTGAAAGTATTAAACTAGTTAAATGATGTTAACTAATTTAAAAGATATTGAAACGTTTTAGGTAAATATTTGTATAGCAATCCATTAATGCTTTATGTTAAATACTTAATTTTTCTTTGCAATATTTAGAATGCTATGAAATTATTAGGGGTGCGCAACATATCGGCATCAATATCGGTATCGGCCAATGTTAGTCATTTTTAAATATATCGGTATCGGTCAAATAAGTAACACTAAGCCAGTATAATAGCCAATATTTTCTTCCATCTAGTTTCAGTTTGTGAATCTGTCCCAGAGGGTGAGGAGGGTGATGATGTTAAATTGTTTAGTCATGTGACACCGATGGTAATCATCTCAGAAGCATAAATGATATCTGACACACACACACACACACACACACACACACACACACACACACACACACACACACACACACACACACACACACACACACACACACACACACACACACACACACACACATAAACACACACACACACAAGTTTGCACTTAACAGATATCAAGAAAGGCATTTAAAAAAATCTGCTTGAATAGTTTTCAGTCTATACAAAATCTGCTTCAGAGGCGTAAATGTCAGCATATAAATATCAGTTATCGACCATAACAGTGATATTAATGTCAGGTATAGGCCCAAAATTTTATTTCGGTGCGTGCCTAGAAAGTACATACAGTATATTGTACATGCTTATCCAAATAAAGGAAAATAATGCATAAAGTAACATAAGAATGTATAAAGTATTTTTAAAATATTGTTTATTTACAATTGCACTTATTCTTTAACCTATTAAGGCTAATTGATGACCGATTATTAATATATGTAACACAACACTTTCTCTAGAACGCTTTGAACTGGCGTTAGAGTTGATGTGGCATAGTTTTATACTTTGGATGTTTTGGTTTATGGTCGAATGAAAAGTTGACAGAGTTGCCAAACACCATCAAAACCACGCCTCCGTCAGATCTGTCAGATTCTGATTGGATCAGTGAAAGTAATGTGTCATGTCTTTTAAACGCTACGTGAAATCAGTCCTGTTGGAACATTTAAAGTCATAGTACCTTTATATTCTATAGGATTATAATAAAGTAATTAATATTTTGATTTCACAGATCGGTCACATCTTATTTATTGACTAACACTTTGCTTGATTAGCTTTATTAAAATAGAGTTATTTGATTAATTAAAAGAAAAGAGTCCATTCTTCATTCTTCTGTTGAGCTGAAAATAAACAGGTTAGAAGCAAATGCATGAGACCTTGAGACCATATCTCATGCAGACTAGTCCAGTGTCAGAGGAGGGGGAAAACAGTCATTTCATTCTGTTACATATAAATGTGAGGAAGCATCTCAGAAAGTCTTGAGTCAAAAATCATAGGAAAATTAAAGATTTTGGAAGAAAATATGTAAAATAAATGAAGTAAAAGTCTACAAATTTGAATTCACATCATCCTCCATATCTCAACATCTGTAGAACTGACAATGTAAAAGCAATTTTTTTAGGCCCTGTCCACACGTAGCCGGGAATCTGCCAAAAGGTAGATATTTTTCTACGTTTTGGCCTGTCATCCACACGAAAACAGAGTTTTTTCACACGAAAACGGATCTTTTTAAAAACTCCGGCCAGAGTGAAGATCTGCGTTTTCTCCGTTTTGGGTGTTTGCGTGTGGACAGACGAAACCGGTGTTTTAAGGTCTGCAGCGTCACTTTCCGCGACAAAAAATGCTGACATCACGTGTGCGACCTGTGTTTACACTAGCCGACAGCATGGATGCCCTCAGAGCTGCGCTCGCTTTATCAATTGTCCAAGTGCTTTTTGCTTGTTTGTTTTTGCAAGCGGAAATACTGCTCCTTGCGGAAGACCACAGACGAAGGACGAGGTTAAGAACGGGGGAAGCACTGCCGCCTACAGGTCTGGCATGTCCTTGTCGTCGTC